AGTTGGACAGAGATCAGAGTTGGACTTCGGTGATATGAGACTGTGGTACTTACCTGATTGGAGACTTGGAGATTGTTGAGGTTGATACTCGGCTGCATCACAGTTGGACACCGGTTACACCTGGACTCGGTTATCTCCGACATTGGTGACCTATGGCCCTCGACATTTTGATCCTGTTGTATGACATTTTGGACTACCATATCGGAGACCTATCAGACTCTATCTATCGGTGTTGTCTACCTCCCCACCTCCTTCGTCTCTCCTCCCACCTTTCATCTGTGAATGCATGTACGGGATCTGGGCATCGTCTATGAATGGCCCAGACCCCACCATCTCACGATTGTATGTGTGTGGAGTGATGCTATGTGAGTCAGTCTGTGTGAGTCAGTCTAGGTGAGTCAGTCCGTTTATCAGACTTCCGCTGCATATATGCTCATCCTACATTGGTTGATCTTTGGTTCTGCCCATACTCACTGAAGTATGCAACAACAGCCTTGCTACGAATTTGGGCATAAATCATGCCAAGTAGCTAATCAGACCCAAATCAAAAGAAGAAGAACTCAGACAACCGCTCTTTGGGAACCCATGGATCCGAGATGAAGGGAACCACCCCTGGACCCTATCTCACACAGGCAGCAGGTGGTTAACATGGATCAAAAATGGGTTCTGGAGAGTCAGGGATATATGGAATGACGAAAGGAAAAACTGGCTGGACGAAGATGACCTCAAAGCTAGGCTGAAAGGCTGCCACCACAGAGATGAGAAGTTGCAGAAGATCATACAAAGCATTCCAGAAAGCTGGAAAGAACTGCTCAAAGAGGAATTCACCTGGAAATCAGGAGAATGGGGAATCCTGATCCAGGACAACACCCCGAGAAGGGCATACCGATTCTCCCATCGACAAGCCAGACAGGGTCCAACGACTATTTTCACGTCCTTTCCTATCCAGTGGAGAAAGCCAGATGAACCGTTCATTATCAACCTAGATCAACACACAATAACGCTGCAAGCCTTCACACTTTCCAAAGTGAGAGCGATGGAATCTGCCCAAAACCGATATTTCAGATCGAAACATCAATTCAGGACCTAGAATTTGACCCACAGGAATGGGCTTGGCTCTCACAGAGAGACAGAACCAGCAAACCACCTACTCCAATTTCTGAGTATACGGTGTCGGGACTGGTGGGTTCCGAATAACATCCCGCCACTCGAGAGACTGTATATAGCCAGATTTGTGCTACAAAATATTATTGAAAACAAAGGACCCAGAACCAGTAATCAAGGCCAGGTGGGGTACGCTAATTGGCGCTGACTCAGAACAAATATCTAGGATCCCGTGGGTAAAATCCAGAACCATAAGACCAATCAAACTCAGAAGCATGCAGTGGCTAGTAGCATACACTGCCCTGCCAGTAAATCCATGGCTGCACATTAGAAGAAGGAAGAGTGATCCAAACAGCTCCAATATCTGCAAAGCCTGCTCAGATAAGGAACGCGAATACTTAATACACTGTCTGATTAGCTACAAAGAAGCTACAGAATATTGGGCAAGGGCATCTGATCTATGGGACAACCTCTTTCTATCCCCCATTACCAGAACACCCCCTTCAACTTCTCCTCTTGACTAACTTACCCTCTAAGCTCAGCAAATCAGAAACGGGGGTCTGGTCTGGAATGATATTCAAGGTCACACTCTGGGGGCTATTTGGAAAGAGAGATGCAGCAGAACGCCGGAGGGCACCAAGAATACATGGGAGAAGGTTTGGGTGGCCACTAAAGGGATGGTCGAGGCGGAAATTCCATGCCAGTGGAAAAAGGTCGAAACATGGGTGCAGAACAGTCCGGAGACAAAAGAGATGGTGATGACAAAATTCAAGCGGATTCGGTTGGCCAACGGTGAAGTTGCATGGCTAAACGGACTTAACCTGAGGTGGAAGGACTGGCACAACTCAGATACAGCAACAGGTCGGGATATCTCCCGGACACGAGAAGAATGATCTACAATCTGGGTATAGCAGGAAAACTAGGCTGGCGGCAGGAGAAGACAACAGCAAGGCTTTCACGGACAGACGAGGACATGGATATCGGAGAAGGCAGGAAGAGCACCCAGCAAAAATGAGCAAGGAAGCTTGGACAGGGTTGTGCCTCTCTCAGAGTCTAGATAGAGGTCTTAAGTAGACCCGACAGCCAGGGTACAACCTAGCTGAGAGGACTTTGAGTACAACGGCAAGCTGACAGTCAATCCTCCATGAAGATGGAGCAATCAATGCAGTGCAGGGGTCCTTCGGCCAGACGGAAGGAAGCATGTGTGCGCATACTGTTGTATTCTCTTGACTTGCCGGTGGAAAAGGAACAGGACTGACGCTCCCCAGAATGGATATGGAGCCAGGACCACAAGGCCCTGTTTTTTTTGGGGGGGGGAAGAAAAAAAGATTCTCTGAAATGAGGAAATAATCTATATGTGAGGCTGAGACATGCTGACTATGGTTACGTTTGAGGTAGTTAAAGCTTGTCATCGATGGTTGGAGAGTCCGAAATGGATATAGCAGCTTCCACTCCGTCATCAGGCTGTGACGCTCCCCAGAATGGATATGGAGGCAGGACCATAAAGCCCTGTTTTTTTGGGGGGGGAAGAAAAAACGATTCTCTGAAATGAGGAAATAATCTATGTGTGAGGCTGAGATGTGCTGACTATGGTTGCGTTTGACGTAGTTAAAGCTTGTCATCGATGGTTGGAGAGTCCGAAATGGATCTAGCAGCTGCCACTCCGTCATCAGGCTTTGTATCGGCACTGATGCCTCCATTCTGCCCCCTGTGATCCCAATGCCCCCCCAGATAATCTGTCAAGGCCCGGATCAAGGACGGCGTTCCAGTCGCCTGCAATCGGCAGATGACCAGGGGCTACACATAATGGCGAGAGCTCGTTTATGAGTTCTTGTCTGCGCTGAAGAGTGTTGGGGCAGTAGACAGTCAGCAGGTGGAACATCTCATTTTTCAAGTTGAAGTCCATCATCGCCCATCGGCCTCCCTGGTTGTCTGTCCTTGTCGCCTCCACATTGAGCTGCAGTGCCGCTGCCGTCTTGGAGTATATGAGTATTGTTGTGCCTGATGAACCAGACCTCAGGCCGGTGCCCAGCAGGTCTCCTTGATCCATCTGCGCCTTCGCTGTAGCTCCTTGCACACTACCCGGTGCTCAGACCCGTCCGTTAGGTGGGTTTCTTGCAGGCATAGGATGTCCCATGGATGGGCGCCTTACCAGTCCAGCGAACTGATGAAATTGTCCCATTGTTGCTGGTTGTTCAGGATTGCAGCATGCCATTGAGCTTCCAGGAGGCTATGTGCAGGTCAAGGTGTCTGTGTAGCAGATCGATGTGCATGTTGTCTGGCTGTTGTATCCATCTCGATCTATGTCGCATGTCGTCACGCTTTGCGACAAGGTGTTCAAGTCTAATTGCCCACCGAGAAGACCTCGTGCTTTTCCTTCAGGGTCTTGATCTTCTTCTCCCAGCTAGGACGATCAGCGAGGAGCACTCTGTAGCTGGACACCAGGGCCGTGCTCAATGTCGCCCTCTCCGAGGCCACCCCATATCTCAGCGATCTGTAGGGGCTGGCTTCTACCACCTGCCAGGCAGTCCACACCAGATCCTCTTTGAGGTGGGACTGTTCTGGAAGGCTAATTAGCACCGGACGGAGATCCGCTGAATGGAGCTGTCCGGCGGAGTCCTCCCAGTCCTTTGTGTTGCTTGTTCTCTCCCCAAGGTGAAGAGAGGGGTGATGGTGTCCTTGAATCGGCCGGTAAGGGAACCACCCTCCAGGATCTTGTTGGTAACTGTGATCAGTGCCTCGTCTCTGTCGACAGCCACTTCCCACTCTTTGTGGGTTGTTTCCCAGCAGCAGGGGATGATAATCCTTTTGTCCTCACTCTTCTTCGCATCCAGCCTGGCTGCTGCTTCAATTGGCTTTGTCTGGCCGTCTGCTATCTTCTGCAGAGACAGGTGCTGTTTTGCGAATTCCTTGTTCTTCGCTATCAAAGAGGACAGCTGGGCTTCAAATATGCCCTTTCACCAACGGATATCAGCTGCAGATCCTTGCTCCGTCTGGTGCTTGGAATCAGTCTGGGCCTGCGTGACTTCCCCGGAAGCGGCCGTTGTCTTTTTGCCTCGCTTGGGTTGAGTGGGCTGCTCGTCTTTGTCCGCATAAGTTATGGGCCAGGAGAATTGTGTGTTGTACGCGGGGTCGTCCACGTGGATGGAGTCACCCTCTACCCTGGTCTTGAGGCTGTATTTTTGGGACAGGAACTCAGAGAGTTCACCCTCCCTCTCTGCAATGCCTCGAAACAGTTCTCGATCTTCACTGCTGGGCCCATGCTGGCTGAGGTTTGGTCGTCCCTGCTCCCAACTTTGCTGCTGTAGCGGTGGTGTCCCGTGTTCAGTTGGAACTCCAGCTCGCGGAAGGGATCCAGATCCTTAACCGTTTTCTCCAACCACTCCCTATCGCCTTCTCCCTCAACTTCTTCCTCCTGCCCCAGGGCCACCGGGCCGCCACCCCTTCCACTTCCTCGGAAGGATTGCAATCAGACTCGTTCTCAAACACACTTTTCATGCATGTAAACAGCAACGCAGCATACTGGCGACATGCGCCCACTCAAAACTCAAAGATATGGCTTTCAGATACGAGTTCACTCTCAGTTGGCTATGGCGACTTCAGCGCCCAAACATCTCACTGTTCACATACACTGGGTCACCCTGGATATCCCACACACGTCACTCTAACACTCTAGCACACACACACACTCGCTACTAACTACAGCTATGGCAGCTATCGCTGCATCTAACCTATCGCTATGCTAACTCCCTCCCTCTTGCCCACTGCGTCCTCCGGGCTCATCTGCAGATCTCCTTGCACAAGTCGCTGTGGCAGCGCTTCCGCATGGCTCACGCAGGAATGAATGAATGGCTGGGCACTGCCTCTTGATTTATACTTCAGAAACTCGTTGGTCTGCCCTTTGCCATCGGCCCTTGGTGCTCACAGTCCCCCCGTGGTACTTGCTGGACCGGACTGGGACTGACTGGACCTTCCGCTGACTGACTGTGGACTCACCGCTATCCTACCGACGTTGAACTGCTGTTGCACTGCGGTTTAGTCCACCACTTGCCTCGCCACTTGACCACTTGCCCACTTGCCTACCTTCTAGAAGGTCTACAGCTAAGCTTCCGGAACTCACTAAGACTTCTACGCTATAGACCTACAGATCGAACCCCTGCTGCCTATGGACCTACGACAGACCTACCAACTGTCTGCGAATACACAGGCCACAGGTTCAATTCTCGGGATCTATGCAGATACTGTACATAGGTAGGGTGAGGTCTAGGGATTGAACCCTGGGTACTGCATCCGCTACTGCTAAAAGGTGAAAACCGTTTCAGGATGGTTTCCTCATTAATTTCGAGATAAAAATAACATTGGAAACGAGGGTTAAGATGGACCTCTTCGACGTTTGAACTTTGAACCCGTTTAAAACCAGTTTATGGTAACTTGGCACCCCTGAAACCCCCCAGGTGACCCATCACTGAATTGGAGGATAATGCTATCAATGCCGGATTACAACTGCCAAGTCCAAGCACAGTCCTGGCCCGAAGTCAGAATTATCTTTTTTGGGATGCTTGTCTCTTCTTTTACCCACCCATCACCCGTTCGTTTCCCAGGCAGATGTGCCACCCTGCCCCCTACCATGGACGGCTACATGGACATCGATCAGATCATTGAGCACAAGGTGATGCCCGTACCGAAGCGGCCTGGAAGAGGAAGACCACCGAAACCGTAGATGCAGTACAGGGTGGCCATCAGACATCACCTGGATCCCAAAGAGGATCGGTGGTTCACAAAGGACAAGCTGCTCAAGACTGCACCTTAAATAGTACATCAATATGAAGCCTTTGATAAGAAAGCAGCCGATTGGTTGAAAAGCTCTCAGAGGGCTTTCGAACTTGAGGGGGAGGGAATGCAAGGATGCAGCACCTCGGTCAGCCGGAAAAGGCCCCACCCGCCCTAAGTGAAGGCCGGCCTGCAAAATGAGGTTTGGCCTGAGTACAGGCCAATGTGAGCAGAATGGGGGCCCCAGGGAGTTGCTGCACGCTTGCAGCATCTTCAACTAACCAGTAGGCCTCGTGCAGATTCTGGCAGGGCCCAGGGCGCAGGAAACTGGGACAGGGCACAGCCTGGGCAGAGCCTCCTCCGCCTATTCAGCCAGCACAAAAGACTGGAGGGCGCCCTGCCTCGAACATTTGGGAAAGCGGCTGCTCGACACTCGCGCCCGAGGAGGAAGCTGCACAGGGGCAGCAGAGTGAAAGAGAAGGAGGGAGAGCGGCAGCCATAACCGGGCTGCTCGCTCCATAGCCAGTGGAGTAGCAGAGGTCCTTGGTGGAACACGGAGTGGGAGAAGGAAGAGAGGCAGTGTAACAAGGTGCATACCTGGTGTTGGCGAATGCAGGCCGTTCTATCAGAGTCTTCAAGCGGCATTGGGATGATGACATGTGGATCAGTTGCTGACATAAGTAGGCTAGTCTGTAGAGGCAGCAGTACAGCCGCCTTTAGGAGGGTTACATTGTTGCTGTACTGAGGATTGGAGGCGTTGGAAGGGATTTCGTTATCAAGAGACTTCATTGCTTTGCTCGTTCCTGTTTGGTGTGGATATCGCTTTGATTTCTGCTTTCAATTTCAGGGTGATGTATGGTCTTCTGTGAGATGTTGCGACTTGGTTTATTTCTGTTGTGTCCCTACTAACATGTCTACTAACACAAAAACAACACGGCACAAAACAACAAAGACAAAAGCCAATAAAAAAAAAAAAAGACGACCTCTAACATTATTTTATTGTATTCTTCTGATTCCATCAGAAATTGAGCGCTTACCTGGGGCGAGGTCGCACCAGCAAAGAGGATTGGATTGCGTCTCTGAATCTGGACGAGTTATGCGCAAGGAAGCAAACAAAAGCAGATCAATCGCAATTTTGTGCACAATTTTGTGCACAATTTTGTGCGCAATTTTGTGTGCAATTTTGTGCACCTCTCCACAAACACGTCCAGATTCAGGTGTTTAATCCAATCCTCTTTGGTAGTGGGGCCTGGCCCCTTTTTACTGACACTTACATGTCTGCTGTTCATCCACATGAGACAGGCGCACACTTGGGCAGCGCATGAACAGCCCGTCACCCTTGCATTTCCCGCGGGTCTAGCAGGTCCAGTCTTCTGGGATCTGCTTTAGATATAATACAACAAAGGCGAACTAATAGATAATACATTATAATTATATAATACATAATAGAAAATAAATAGATAGATAGAACACGATAAGAAATGAACGAAATAAAGAGTCTGCCCGACAGCAGCTGGAAACTACCTGATTCACTGAGTGGGCATAAAAAGATGTGTGTTCATCACATACATGAAATGAAACACAATTTCCAAGCTAACAGACCTCGTTACCAAGAAGAAATGCCGTACTGCGCTTGAAAGGGTGCAGATGCACAGGATGTGCCCCTTCCATTATCTCCACTCCACAGATGTCGCAGCCACGATCTTCCTACTAGGCACCCGCATGCACACACACACACACACACAACATCCTGATGAGTCGGGGAAAGTCTGAAGAAAAAGTCTGGCACAGTCATGCTTTTTTTGTGGAGTTGTCTATAGCAAACATTACAACACACACACACACACACACACACACACACACACACACACACA